AATACATGCATTCCGAAGACGACAGGACAAATGGGCCTGAGCGTGGTCCGAGGACCAGCCCAAATGTACAGGGGCCAGACAAATTCTAAATTGACCACCAAGCGTCATGCGGTCGCATAAACAAAGCACTCTAAAGCCGAAGTCCAATCTCTTTGTCTTTTCCCAGAATACACCCATTTGGCTCAACCCAATGGCTTCTTCGGCTTAGTGGAAGGCCTAGGAATATTATAATGCTGTTTTACAAATAAAAAGTACTCCTTAATTTCTCCTATAAAGCCCTTTGGTAATATTCTACCACTGCCAGCATCGGCAGTGGTCATTTCGATTCGCATGTCACCCATGCATCTAGCTAATTCATTATGCTTGCAAGTCACGAGTCGTGTATGTTCCCGCAAATGCCAGCAGAAATCTTTATTGAAACCTTACAACAGACACTTTCAGCTCAACGATCACCACTAAAATGAGTAACTGCTTGACACCGGTCACCCATCACTACAGCACACCAAACGCTCTCAAGGAGCCCAAGTTCTGGAGCGATTTCTCTGGCTGATTTGTTGAAATGCTTTTAGAGTGCCTCAGCAACTCCACAGATTGGACCATTTAACTTAGCCGTCGACATTTCGTCAAGTTCAGATTTTTTGACTTTTCGTGGAAATCAGGCGAGTTCTTTGCTAAAAATTTGGAACCATTTGACACTATCTTCAGTACCTTACTCGAGAACCTCACCTAAGGTTGTCAAATGCCGCAGACAACTGCCAAATGCATAATTTAACTCTCCTCCTAAAGCGCCTACCTTTAGTTGATGAGACCTCGTCCATCCGAGCCTTTGAATGACTTTGTTTGCACCTCTGTTGTCCGAAGTCATTGACAAAGCTAAGCTTTGAACCTACTTGAGAAGGCACCACCACACGAACATACAAACTGTTGGAGTTGTTAACAGAAAGACAGATATGTCACCTCTGCCAAAAGTACACTTCCATTGGCACTATCGATGTCATCATTACTAATAGTAGCAGTGGCTCTCTGTCTTCCTTAGGACTTCCGTCTATAGCGCAGTGTATCACTGCCATTTTCACTCGTTTGATGACCATTGGGCAGACTAAGGGCAGATTTTTCGTCCTTCTCCACACCATTCAAGTTGCCATGAATGTACACTTTGGTCCAGTAGGGCGGAGGTAGCTTGCTCCAACGCAGATGCAACTCATCTGTCACCTCTGCAATCACTCTGAGCGCCTAAAAGCATATAAAAAGAAAAGCCATTGACCAGAGCCTCTCACGGCTCTCCTAACTACCCGTCCATTTACAAACCTTTACAAGTCCTGAAAGGAATCAAGTTCCCTTAAAACCCCATTGAAGGCTGTGGCGGTGTTTCCTTTTGGCTTGAAGAATAAGCCTAAGACAGTGGTGCTTAAACAACTGGTCGTTTAGTACAACAATCTCGTCTAAATCTTTTTGTCGTATTGTCTTGATCAAATCAGTAGATGATAAAGTAATCAACTTTGCTTTTCAATTTGCCTTCAGTACCCAGAGGGAAAAATAACATCACCCAAATGCTCTAATTGTCACAGCAAAAATTATAACGCCTACTAAGGTGGTAGTCGTCTTCATCCCCATTTCTCACGGAAAAAAATTTCGAACACCTGTACCGCTTATCCACTCCACTCGCCTATCTCCTGAGAGCTTAAACAGCTCACTGATCACTTCCACTTTCCAACACACCTCAACACTGGAAGTTCAACTTCAACTCGTGAAGGTGAGTTGTGGACATTGCCATTGTCTTTTCTTTATCACCGTGAGAGCACACCTAGCCGCTACCACTCGGAAGCATTTTTCATGTCTTCAACCCAGTCCAATCCAACTCACCAGTGAGTGCGCGCAGAAACTGTCACCAACTTATCGGTACAACAGATCAGACGGATCAAAGTAACTAACATCAACTCCTCACATAACCGCG